GCTTGATCGTATCTTGGCTAGGCAGTTGTGACCTTTAAAACAGATAATGCTTTCATTAACGTCTCGATAACTTCTCTTTTGTGATGCAGGGACGGTCTCGTTGCGTTTTGCCCACGAGCCCACGGGTTGAACCCAATTTATGCAACGATGATGGGGTGGTCGCAGAGTAGCCAAGTGAATCAGAGAAAGCGTGGAAACGACATGGTCAAGGTATGCAACATTTTATCTGATGTTGAGACATTATGGATTCTTCTATTTACTTCGAGATTTGGAAAGGTTGTGAATTCACAACTAATGTATTGCTTTGAACACATTAGGAGCATACACGCAAATGGCCGTCTTCACGAGATTGCTTGGCGTCGGACACACTTTCAACGGTAACTGCGGACCAGCACTGTCACGGTTTTGGTGAGTTGGAGACTGAAACGGGAACGAAATTCACTTGAAATGTAATAGGACTGGCGGAGCTGTTGCCCAAACCTCACTGCCTGCTTATCCATGACCTGATGTAATTTCAGTCTCTTGTTCTGACTCTTATTTGTTTATGGCAGGTTCTGAGTTGACGCTTGCGTGGAAAAGTCTTGTATAAACGGTTGAAGTGGCGTACCAGATTATGGCTCTTATGGCAGGTAATTTGTTTCTGCTTTCAGCTCGCGCTTATTGGTTGTTTACGATTTTCCTGCTATTTGTTGATTTTCTTCTGCTGTTCTCTAAACAAGAAAGGGACAAACGCCTGTTGCCGTGACGGTACGAATCCCAACTCAAGGTCCTAATCTCCCATAAGACATTTTGGACGACATCTCTTCACAAATCTCTTGTATTATTGATAAACAGGCCCAGTCGATTGAGGATTGAAGATTCTGCGGTAAAACGGATACAAAGCGAATACCAGGCTTACTCTTCATGCACGTCCTTGATCATAGACTTCTTAGAGGATTATAGGATTTTAATCAATTAGTTAGGAATCTATGTTGTGCTTGTTTGGTTGATTGTATAGAGAGGACTACAGTGTCTTTCAAGGATGATTAAAAGTGTCCTGCTTTGTTATAACTTTAATTCTATAATTTCCACTGTGTATGTATACTTCTTGGGCAAATTTGATTGGGAGTTATAGCATCCGACTTTATGAGCTAGTCTTGCTAGTTCGTCCATGAACACTCGAGCTAATGAAAGAAGTTAGCTTTCCATTCTTCATTTGGTAACTTTGCCATGAAGGAAAAAATTGGTCTTAATATGAATAATCTGTCATTAAGTGGGTATTGAAACTTGGCTTTTACGTTTGCAACCTTGTGATTTCTTGCACCCATTCTTAATGTCTTATACTCTAATTGAATTGATTTAGTTGTAAAGTTCTCTCCAACTAAATTAGGATTTTGCAAATCTTGAATCCAACATGATGCATAAACTTCTTTGAATTTAGTAGTGACCTCATAGGAGTTATTCCTCACTAAAACTCATGGATATTAAGGCTTGAATCTTGAGATCCTCAAACCTTACGAAGCTTTACTCTTTTAGGTCATCAATTTGTATGAAACAATGTAGCCTCGATGAAACCATGAAGCTCTCAATAATGGTGAAAATTCCCAAAACAAACACCTCATATAACAATTGGGCTTGAAACCAAAAGGTCTAACACACCGATGCCCAACAAACTCCAGTTGGAGATTAATGCACTATATCTCTTGAGGAATCTTGATGGAAAAAACCTTGATCCTTAGTAAGAAAATATCAGACCCAGCGAGACACCCTAGGATCTTTGAATCATAAGGGTTATGCTCCGCCAGGTTTGACGGTGATAACGAATATTGTCTCCACTTGAAATTAATGCGTCTGCACAAGTTGGTTAGCCATAATAAACATGTACACACAAGTAGAATAAACAAGCAGAAACAAACACAAGGAGGTAGGATCTTAAGGTCAAAAATTAGGGTGTGACATTGTCAAATTAGTTTGTCAGCTAGAGTCTATAGATTGCAAGGCTCAAGAAAGGCTGAGATGCTTTATGGATATCTACTCTCAACGACTTTAATAGTACAAAATCTCTTGAAGACTCAAAAGTAAAACATGTTACACATTGGATTAAGATCTTCTGGCGTATCTATCTTCGACAGGTCTTGTATTATGGAGTAACAATAAATGGTCTTGATCAAGTTACCTCTTCAACGACTATTTTATGAAAATGCTATAAATATGACTGAAGGTTCAAACTGAATCTTTAACAAAGATCATCCAGAAGAAGGAGTAACAAGATCAGCAATTATCAACACAATTGTAAACACATATTTTCTGTTGTAAGTTGTAATTGTAAAAGTCTTAAGATTTCTTACACATTGAATATCTTAGAAATCTTAAGTGATTTAGGTCTTTGTTATGGTGATTTCCCGTACCTCTGATACTTGTATCATGTACACCTTGTTCTCTATTCTACTGAGCTTGTTCAAAAGTTTAGATAAAAGTCTTGTGTCATTGGGATACAAGCAAGGAAGTCTCGAGCCAAGATGCTTGAGCCACGTAAGTCTCATACTATCTACCTAAACTGTGAAAGTATTAACCAAGTGGATTGATTAAGCATAAGTCTTATATTATTGGGATACAAGCAAAGAAGTCTCGAGCCAATATGCTTGAGCCACGTAAGTCTCTTACTATGTACTTGAGTTGTGAAAGTATTAATCAAGTGGATTGATTAAGCAAAAGTCTTGTATCATTGGGATACAAGCAAGGAAGTCTCGATCCAAGATGTTTGAGCCACGTAAATCTCTTGCTATGTGCTTGAGCAGTGAAAGTCTTAATCAAGTAGGTTGGTTGAGCAAGGTTAGCTCGGTGCATGAAACTTGGAATAATAAGTATTGTATATGAGGGACCAAGCAAGGAAACTTATTTCATGGCATCTAGAGCAGAAGTCTTAAGCTAGCATGTCTTGAGCAGCATAGCTCAGTACATAGAATTGGAGCAGTAAGTCTTGACTAGAGGGGTTCAAGCAGGGAGACTCGTTTCATGGGATTTGAAGCTGAAGTCTTGGGCTGAGGACCTGAGCAAGGAAGTCTTGGATTTGTGGAACCTGAGCAGAAAGTCTCGAGTGAGGGGCTTGAGCAGAAGTCTTGGACCTTGGGTCTGAGCAATTGTAAAAGTCTTATGCAGAATACATAAGAGATTGTAATCATGTTTTGATTATAGTGAAAATCTTATATCAGGCAAAGGGTTTGGACTACTCTCAGTTTGGGAGGAACCAATATAAATCTTTGTGTCTTCTGCTATTATTTATTTGCTTCTGTTAACATTCTGCTGCTAAGAATTAATTAGAATCTGAACACCAATTTTAAAATTTGAACTCTGATCAGATGCAAACTAAGAAAACGGAAAACACAATTCAACCCCCTTCTTGTGTACTTTTCTCATCTTCAATTTCTTACTCGGATAAAGTCTCATACATCCATTATGACCTAGAATTGTCAGATATGAATCCCATTTTTTGGTCTTACGTGATCACAATTTTGAGAAGGATGGTGAGAATCATGGGATGACCCAAATGAAGTTTCCACCTCAAAATCACTCACTAAATCAATAGTATTATCGCACATCCTGACTAGAAAATAGGGAAAGCTGAATCTAAAACTTGAGTTAGAAGGGTACTTAATTATGGGAAATTGATGAAGTAAGAAAATAAAAAATGCAAAAGCTTTAAGCGAAACTCTGAAACACTTCTAGTGATTTTTTCAGGAAAAAGGAACGAAGACATTTCTCTAGAAAAGTAACTAAAAGCTTGCAAAAACTTCCAAATATTCAACTCATTATATTTACAAGCAATGACAACTGAAAGATCAAACCAACTATTAATAAAGTCCATAAGATCAACAACTATATTTTCACTCGTGAACGCACATTAATTTAAGGGCACTCAAGTACTCTCTAAATTACGCCATACCCTACCTGGTCACGACATTGCACGTGCCATGAATGAGCAACAAATCGTTTCGTCGATGGGACCACACTATATGTTCATGTTCACCATTACTTCTTTAGAAAATAAATCCCAAGCGATATAGTTCTATCTCGCATCAGACTACGACTTTAAGGCCGATCAATCATACTTAAGGTTTTCCCCGACTCCTTTAGTGCCTAACAAAGCCTTGGGGACAACTGTTCTGGATCGATAAAATGCCCAACTGCCTAAGACCCATTCCATTTCAAGCTCACTATACTCGACGCAAAATATAAAAACTCTTCACATGCTATAAGAAAGTACACAATTTCTAATCTCAAATTTCAATATACCCATCTTGAATCTTTTATTAACTCGAACATTAGATTGTTAACCATGCTGATCCACCCCTCGTTGTCGTAACAGAGTCAGAATCACTGTTCAAAATCAACACTTAATCAACTCTTTTAATTTTTAATTTTTTCATAGAAGTAGAGCATCCAATTATAATTCTCGAACTAAACAACTTCTTCTAAGATACAAATTTAAATTAAAGATATAAAAACATAATAAAACTTACAATTAATATATACTATTCTATTTCTTTCTTGAATTTTAAAAATTAAATTTTATTAAACCAATTCAATTGATAATTAGATATTTCCCCCGAATGCTAATATAAGACAATCCACTCATTCATGAATCATGATGAACATTAAATTATTAATTTGTTTTTTCAACAAACATCGCTACTATTTTTTTTGAATAAATAAAAGGGAATTTAATATCGTGATATAAAAATGAATAAGAGAGAGTGTGACGTGGCGAGACGGAAGTGGTGAAACGCTAAATAACCGTACGATAAGAAATTGAGGGAGCCGCATAACCGCGCCTTAAAAATCCCTTTTACTATTAAGAAACAGAAACAAAAACCCTTGTTTTCGATTTTCGAGCGACTCACACTTCTTCCCTCCCTTTCCCCTCTCTCTTTCTCCCCTATCCAAAAACACTCCGCCACTCTTTCTCTCTCTGCCATCTTCATCTCCATCATCACTCCGCCACAACAATTCACAACGAAACCATGGCGACCGATCCAAATCAGTCCCAAATGGCTCTGATTCTTGGCCCCAATTCATCTCACTTGGAATCCCTAATCACAAACCTCATGTCTTCCTCCAACGACCTCCGTTCCCAAGCCGAAAATCTCTTCAACCTATGCAAACAAACCTACCCCGATTCCCTAATTCTCAATCTCGCCCAACTTCTTCATACTTCCCCTAACCCAGAAACTCGCACCATGTCCACAATCCTCCTCCGCCGTCACCTCACGCGCCACCACGACGACTCCTTCATCTACCCACGCCTCACGGTTTCCACTCAAACCACCCTATGTTCCCTCCTCCTCTCTTCTCTCCATCAAGAACCTGTCAAATCCATTGCCAAGAAGCTTTGTGACACCGTTTCTGAACTTGCTTCTGCGCTTCTCTCCGATGACCTTGCTTCATGGCCTGACCTACTACCTCTTCTCTTCCAGTGGGTTACTTCGCCTGACGCTAGGCTTCAGGAGATTTCTCTCCTTGTGTTTGCTCAACTGGCTCATTACATAGGTGAAACCCTAATTCCTCAATTGTCAACTCTCCACTCTGTTTTCCTCCGCAGCCTCAGCGCCGCCACATCCTCCTCAGATGTCCGCATCGCTGCCCTTGCTGCCAGTATCAATTTTGTTCAGTGTCTCTCCAATCCCTCCGACCGTGACAGGTATTACAAATTCCAATTATGCTCCAATTTGAATTAACTTAAATTGAACGAATTTATAGGTTTCATGTAAAAATTGAGATGGGCTTAGTTATGTTGTCTATAGTATGCAAGAACAGTGCAGATTTGAATTAAGCTCCAATTTGGATTAACTTGAATTGACCGGCTTAATATATACAAAAATTGTGATGTACTTAACTTTCCATTGTTGCTGTTAAATTCGAATTATGCTAAAATTTTGTTTAACTTGAATTGAACGAGTTCACAGGTTTCATATAAAAATTGACATGCACTTAACTTAACTTTCGATTATTGTAGGTAAATTTGAATTATGCTTCAATTTAAGATCATATTGTTTTTCAACCTTTTTAAAAATATCAAAAACATTTATAGACGCAACCCTCCAAAGCCTTCTCCTCCAAAACCCTCCAAAAACCAACTCCCAAACAGACCCTTAGGGTATAAAGTTCTATCTTCGATACTCATTTAGGAGTAATGTTGTACTTGGGCTCAAAAATCGTTCTTTTATTTTTCTTGTTTGCCTTAGATTTTTTGCACTGTACTTTAGGTTACTTTAAGTACAATGGTCACTTTAATTGTGTGTATTTTTTTACTTTTGAGTATTTATGCTTACTTTGCACATTGGTTTTTGCTCTTTACAATAGCTTCACAATAGCGCCTATCCTCTATAGCATTTTAGGGAATTGGTGTTACTCATAGCTTATCATAGATTAGCAAAATAGACCTTGAATTGGAATGGGTTTAGTTTGTTATGCAAAGCTATCATAAACTAACAACATACTGTATATTAAATTGGAACGAGTTTAGTTTATAGGTTTTGTGAAAAGTTGATATGTAGTTAGTTATGATTAATGTTTGAATTCTATATATGAAGTTGGGGAGACTGTTACCTTTATTGGCTTAATCATCTGTTCTAACTGTAAACTTCTTACTAAGTGCGTGTTCACGTGTGATAACAGGTTCCAAGATTTGCTTCCTCTGATGATGCAGACATTGACAGAGGCATTGAATTCTGGCCAGGAGGCGACTGCACAGGATGCACTTGAGCTCCTCATTGAGCTTGCAGGGACTGAGCCACGTTTCCTGCGGAGGCAGATTGTTGACGTTGTTGGTGCCATGCTGCAAATCAGTGAGGCCGAGTCATTGGAAGAAGGGACTCGCCATTTGGCTATTGAGTTTGTTGTTACCCTTGCTGAGGCGAGGGAGCGTGCTCCTGGGATGATGAGGAAGTTGCCGCAGTTTGTGAAAAAGCTATTTGGCGTGCTGATGAATTTGTTGCTGGATATTGAGGATGATGCTGCTTGGCATGCCGCAGTGTCTGAAGATGAGGATGCTGGTGAGACTAGTAACTACGGATTTGGACAGGAATGTTTGGATAGACTTTCAATTTCTTTGGGCGGGAACACGATAGTTCCAGTTGCGTCTGAGTTGTTGCCAACTTACTTGGCTGCACCTGAATGGCAAAAGCGCCATGCTGCACTCGTTGCCTTTGCACAAATTGCAGAGGGTTGTTCCAAGGTATTCTTTTATTTGTACTGGCCCATGTTCACATAAATGATTTTTTGTTTAAATTTATTGTATTAGCTATTATTTTATTGTTGTTTTGTAAAAAATGTTCATGCCTTTGTATTTAAGTTACAATTATAAGTGGACAACATCTGTTTATTGTTTTGTCTCAACAGTTTTTCAAATTTAAGCCTTTGTTTTCAAATATAAACCTTTGTTTTGATTGCGTTGTTGGTGAATAATTGGGATTATTATGTGGAAAAATAACTTATGCATGTATATTAAAACCTAATTTTTGGTGGTGCAGGTGATGACAAAAAATCTGGAGCATGTATTGTCAATGGTTTTGAGTTCATTTTCTGATCCAAACCCTCGGGTGCGGTGGGCGGCTATAAACGCAATTGGGCAGTTGTCCACAGATTTGGGACCAAACTTGCAGATTAACTATCATCATTTGGTGCTTCCTGCATTAGCGGGAGCCATGGATGATTTTCAAAATCCTCGAGTACAGGTTTGCACTTTTAACTCAACCAACTACATTGTCAACTATATTAATTTATTGTCATCTAAAATTGTTTTTATTGACCATTCCATGTTCTCAATCATATTAGGTTAAGACGGACTTTATAATCTAGCTTTATTGGATTCGATTCTTGTTCTTCTATTTGACCCTTGATTATGTATATTGGACATTTTTTCTATGCATTGGTTGATTCTGCACGTGCTTGGTCAAAGTAATCTCATGCATTTATTATCTTGTGTTACCTCATGGACTGTTCATAGGTTTTAGTGTCTGTTCACATATCTTGTATACCGCTGTAACTATCCTCAGTTCTCTAAAGGCTTTGTGCAGGGTTTTCTCATACTTAACGGACATATTGACATGAGAGTATTAAACTGGCTGGGCTAATTTTATGGATTATGCATTATTAATATATTTTCATCATTTTATCATGGCTTATATGGTTATTTTCTTTGAAGTATTAGAGTTTTTCTGCCCAAGTTATCTCTTCATTTGTTATTACTGGGTCAGTAGTTTAGTGCCATTTAGTGCGACTACTAATGTGTTAATATGAATCGGGAGTTCCTGATTATTGATATCACATTTGAATTTATGAAGTGATTAATCGTATTATCATTCAATTTATTACTTTCATTGCAGGCTCATGCAGCTTCTGCAGTGCTAAATTTTACCGAGAATTGCAACCCAGATATTCTAATACCTTATTTGGATGGGATTGTGAGCAAACTTCTTGTACTCCTTCAGGTATTTATTTATAGATATTTATAGCAAGGACGTCTGAGAATAAGTAATATTTTTCTGGTGAAGGAGATCATATGGCCTTTGTTTGGTTATACATTTTGATTTCGTTTGAAAGTAATGAAACCTTCATGAATTCTCATTAGTTTGTTGTTTTGTTCTCCAAGAACCGAGAGGATCTGCAGTCACTCTATCTATTTTTTACCCATCTTTAATTTTTGATACTAGAAGCCATATATTTCTAATTTGTTAGTTTTTCTTTCATGACTCTGAGTATTGTTGTATAATGTTACTTTGTTTCATCAATTGTTGCAAAGTACTTATAACCCAAAGGTGTTATGCTGCTTTATATTTTATATATTTGGGATGATAAATTTGGAATTATATGATTTCATCTCTTTTGATGCATGAATTATAGGGTGGAAACCAGATGGTTCAAGAAGGTGCTTTGACAGCATTAGCATCTGTTGCTGATTCTTCACAGGTGCTTTATATAACAATTCTTCTTTATTGGAATCACATTGTTTTTAAGTTTTTTATTTGATAAATTTAAAAATCTCATGTTAACAGGAAAAATTTCAGAAGTATTATGATGCTGTAACTCCATACCTAAAAGCTATTTTGTTGAATGCAAATGATAAATCTAATCGTATGCTTCGTGCCAAAGCAATGGAGTGTATTAGTTTGGTAGGAATGGCTGTTGGAAAAGAGAAGTTCAGGGATGATGCCAAGCAGGTGATTGTTAATTTATTTTAGCATGTTAGTTCTTGTGTTTATTTTTTATCCAAATAGTTTTTATATATTATTTCATACAATCTGATTGTTGTTCACTTTTTGTGTGCTAATGTATGATTTTCATTCTTCATTTACTAGGTCATGGATGTCTTGATGTCACTGCAACAATCTCAACTGGATGCTGATGATCCAACTGCAAGTTACATGTTACAAGTATGACCCTTTTTTTTTTCCTTCCATTTGTTGACATCAACTTTGGATCATATATTTATGTTTTATTGTTATGGTTTAAATACATTTATACCTCAGATTTTCACTTGGATTTTATATTCTCAGGCATGGGCACGACTTTGCAAGTGCCTTGGGCAGGATTTTCTCCCATACATGGGATTTGTCATGCCTCCCTTGCTTCAATCTGCACAACTTAAGCCTGATGTGACAATTACATCAACAGATTCTGATGCTGAATTTGACGAAGAGGATGACAGGTGTCCTTCTGATTCTGGTTACTGTATTTCGGGTCACAAGAATTATATCAATGATGTGTTTCTGGATCAATTTTAATATTTATTTCACTTCTTTATACGGTCCTTTCTTTTGTTTGAGTTTCTACTTTCTACTACTGCCTTTATTTTAAACAATGTTTTTGGCCATTTGAGTAAACGTGATCTGCATTTTGCTGCTTTAATTAATTTATATTTATATGGTGGTATCCTTGTCAATTAATCTTTTATTATATAAACAAATGGAATAAGCATAGAAAAACATTCACATTTTTTATGACTGAAAATTAAAGAGACATTGACTATATTAATAGACATTTAACATGCTTTTGACTACTTACTGCCTGGCTGTTCGTGTTGTAGCATTGAAACCATCACTCTCGGGGACAAAAGGATAGGCATTAAGACTAGTGTCCTGGAGGAGAAGGCTACAGCATGTAACATGTTATGTTGCTATGCTGATGAGTTGAAGGAAGGTTTTTTTCCTTGGATTGACCAGGTTGGCATTGTTTTTTATTTCATTGGCATTGCTCTAACAAAAATATTTATTTGCTAACTTTGTTGAATCATCTAGGTCGCTTTCACATTGGTTCCTCTTCTTAAATTTTATTTCCACGAAGAAGTTAGGAAAGCAGCTGTTTCAGGTATATTCTTTATCCCATTAGAACCTTGCTTCTAGTATGTATTTTTGGCAGTTCTTACTGAATTTTTAATGCGACCTACCTTTTTTGTAAATAGCTACGCCACAACTGTTGTCTTCAGCAAAATTGGCTATAGAGAAGGGGCAGTCACAAGGCCGTGATGCAGCTTACTTAAAACAATTGTCTGATTATATAATTCCAAATTTGGTGGAAGCTTTACACAAGGTTAAAATGCTGCCTATAGTTCTGGTTTTTTGGTTTTAATTTTTAATTTTAGTACTTGTATCAATGTATTTAGTTGTCTTCCAGGAGCCAGAGGTAGAAATTTGTGCAAGCATGTTGGATGCACTGAATGAATGCATACAGGTTTGTAATATTCATATATGAGGATATATTGTGTTATTGGAAATAAATTACTATTCCATGACATGCAATCCTTTTTACCTTTTTTTCAAGTAATCACAAGTGAAGGAGAAATTCATAGCCAAATGATTTGTTGTTGCTCTTATTGTGTAGTACTGTGTCTCGGAGGGATTTGTCATGTAGAATACAATTTACAATGAGATGTGAAATATAATGCGATAGGAATTGTAATATTTTATGCTACGACAATGTTGTTTTTGTTTATTGTATTTTTCAAGTCATCAATTCTCCTTAAGCTATTGTTCGAACCTGAAGTTAGCTATCGTTTATTTCTCTTAGGTCTCAGGACCACATCTAGATGAAAAGCAAGTAAGGAGCATTGTTGATGAGATTAAACAAGTCATCACTGCCAGTTCATCTAGGAAGCATGAAAGAGCAGAGAGAGCCAAAGAAGAAGACTTTGATGCTGAAGAAAGAGAACTACTAAAGGAGGAAAATGAGCAAGAAGAAGAACTTTTTGATCAAGTATGATTAATATGTTTGTCAACTGAATCATCTCGTTAACTGCATTCTTTATGTGCATGCTTTTCTAGCTCTTATGTTGAATCATGTTGTGTGCTAGATTGGTGATTGCTTGGGGACGTTGATAAAAACATTCAGAGCATCTTTTTTGCCTTTCTTTGAAGAGCTTTCATCATACTTAACACCTATGTTTGTAAGTTCTCTTACACCCCTGTCTCCTGTCTTCTTTTTGCTGCAGGAATGAAACTTCATTTTCTTTTAGGATTATTTATTAAAGTTTTTTTTTCTTTGCCCCTTCATATCTTTTTTCTCAGACATTTTCCCTTATTTAATAAAGTTTGAACATCTAATGTAAAGGAAAAAATGATATCGTTTGATAAACATGAGTTCTTTCTTATAAAGGCATCAGTTCTCTTATTTGTTCCATTTTGTTTTTTAATGGGGAAATAAAGGAAATTTAGCCAGAAAAGTGGAAAATATCGTGCAGCCCCCATTCTGATAGTACTACTCCCCCCTGTAAATGTTATTGGATGCGATTATAGGTTGTATATTTATTATCTTTTGTTTTGTTTTTATGTTTGTTCTTTTAAAGAATGTAAATAAATGTTGAAATTTTCTTACAACATTTTTTAGATAAACAAAATTTTCATATTATGATTTGTAGTTTATTACCCCCTGCCCCCTCTTGTGATTTGTGAATGACATGTTAATGTTTGTCCCAATACCTATAGCTTCGGTTAGAGATGTAAGTCATATAACCTTCTGAATTAAAAATTTCCCTTGTTCACAACTTATAATCAGGGTAAAGACAAAACCTCAGAGGAAAGGAGAATTGCCATATGTATATTCGATGACGTTGCGGAGCACTGCCGCGAAGCAGCTCTTAAGTAAGAAATTTTCTTCTTTCACAAGAAAAAAACTCTTGCCCTTTCTTTTATTCTTTGGGAACTCTCTAAGTTGATGTACACAATTATTTGTTCTCTTTATTTTGAATGATTTGTTCTGAATTTGAAATTCTTTATGCTGTTGCTACAGATATTATAATTCATTTCTTCCCTTCTTGCTAGAAGCTTGTAACGATGAATGTTCAGATGTTCGACAGGTTCCTACCTTTGGTTTACTTTATATTAATGTTGCTTTTACAGTTTTGTTACATTTATATGTATTTTCTCAAAGCAAATTTCAAATATCTTCTCAGGCAGCTGTTTACGGGGTTGGTGTATGTGCGGAGTTTGGTGGATCTGTTTTCAAACCCCTTGTTGGAGGTCAGTTACCCACACCAGTTTCTTAATTCTTATTTTATCCATATCTTATTACACCCTTATTATAATCATTTTTTGTGTGGTTATATCACAGAGGCACTTTCAAGGTTAAATGCTGTAATAACACATCCAAATGCACGGGATTCTGATAATGTTATGGCATATGATAATGCTGTTTCAGCTCTTGGGAAAATATGCCAGTTTCACCGCGATAGCATAAATGCAGCACAGGTACAGCATACTTGTTTTTGATCTTAGTCTTGCATGCGATCATAATATCACTTGAGCAAGTACAGGTTGTTAGTCGTCATACTTCTTGAGTTTGCTGTTTTAAAACTACTTCCTGTAATGAAATTCTGAGCTATGATTTTGACTTGCATTTATTCAAATCCAGTCCTAGCAATATAGAGGGCGTCACTTACAGCTTTTGCCAAATATTACACATGGCTTCCTATATAATATTATATTAAATGCAGAAAATTACTATGAGATATTTATGGATCATGGTTTCACTTCCACTCAGTAAAACTTAATGATATTGCAAGCCACTTAATATTTTTGTAACCCTAGTCGAAGACACAAGTTTAGCACTAATTTGCATGCCACTTGTTTTCCTTGTAGAAATGAGATTTAGAGCAAACATCCACCCTGCTTGTTTGTTTTGATTTGTTACTTCATTGATCATTTCTTGATTGCAGGTTGTTCCTGCCTGGCTAAGTTGCTTGCCTATAAAAGGTGATTTAATTGAGGCTAAAGTTGTACACGACCTACTTTGCTCAATGGTTGAAAGGTAGAAGTCTTATCCAGAACATGTTTTGAATAAAATGCTTTATATCTAATTGCTGTCTCTGCTTCCTGTTGACTAATGATTTTAATGTGTTATACATTTATTCAATTTCAGATCTGATAGAGAACTTATAGGTCAAAACAATCAATATCTTCCCAAGATTGTTGCAATTTTTGCTGAGGTACATTTTTTACCAATGCTAGTTTTTAGTCAGTGCTTATAGTTTTTTTTACTCTATTTCCATTTCCTCTATAAACTAATGTTTGTTTGGCACCCATATTCCATTATGATGTAGATATTATGTGCGGGAACTGATCTGGCGACAGAACAAACTGTAAGTCGGATGATTAATTTATTGAGGCAACTTCAACAGACTTTGCCACCTTCTACCCTTGCTTCAACCTGGTCATCATTGCACCCTCAGCAACAGCTTGCACTACAGTCAATTCTATCATCCTAGCTATTTTAGATTCGCGTGTCCATTACCTTAAGAAAATTTGTGTCTTTTGTCATGGCATGTTATGGTTGCCCTTTGTGAAACTACCGTGTCAGGTCAGATTTGTTCCTTTAGCTTTGCAGTGCCTGTTCCAGACCAACAGCTGCACCTGGTTACTGTTTCTTGGTTGCTGAACCATATTTGGCAATCCAAGTATCCACCCCATGACTTTTGAGGTATGGCTTTTTTAGAGGTGTTGGGTTGGTTAGATTGAAAAACAGTTTTGGTGTTAAATGTGTATATGTGTTATAGTTAAAAGGAATGAACTGCGTGACTTGATCCTTGCTTGGATGGCGGGGACGGGGCGCGCCACCCTGAGTCATGCTTGATTCTGTAAGCCACATAGCATTCTAGTATTCTTTTTTTTTTTTTTTTTTTTTTTTCAGATTGTAACAGTTTTGACCAGTTATTTTTGAAACAATGTCATTGATTTATTTGTTTATCCGTTGGTTTATGTCCTTGTTGTCAAACCTAACTCCAAAACAAGTTGTTTTGGGAGATTACAAAATGAGAATAAGTATGAGGAGTTTTACATGCAAGCAAAATAAAATTACGCATGGTATGAGCTTAATATTTTTTACATAACTTGTCAACACATTGAGCAATTGTATAAAGTACATATAATATCGGATAAGAGTAATGGTTGCAACTTGCAAATCCTGTTGTGAAGGTCAGTGGACAGGGGTAGCCATGGATATCGGTTATCATATAATCCAAATACTATTTTACTTTATACATCTGGTGGCAATTAGTTTATAGTGGCGACAACACCTTTTTTTTCTTAATTATAAATTATATATATCTAGTTTTATTTTATGTATTGACTTAGTGGTTATGAGATTTGGATGATTATTGCTAACATGTTGAAGAACACTATTTAATAATGGAATTTGAAAAATTAATGATATACTCTTTTAGGTTGTCACAAATGATATATAGTTATTTGAATATCATATCAAGGGTGCTAAATCAATTTTTATGCATTTATTTTTGTCTTTCATTTCTTAACACAAACCACTCCTTCCAAATTCCAATCTTTATTAGCCTAGAGGAGCTATATAGTATATACTATATACTATCAAGAGAAATATTAAAAAAAAAAATTTAGCTAACATGTGTCTTTATAATCCATATTAAAAACAATAAAGTCATAAAGTCTAAATTAATTGATAATGTTAATATTGTTGGTTAAAGTCTAAATTAATTGATCATTTTGATGCTATTAGGCTGAATACTATAGTTTTAGTTGGAACTCAAGATTTTACAATTGTATTTAAATTTCAGATGCTATTAGGCTGAATACTATTTTATCTATAGACGTAAAAAAAAAAAATAGTAATAATTTTGAACTTTTAAAATTTTTAATACACAAGCTCCAAATATAACAACATTATTATATTTGATTTTTTAATGTGTCTTTAAGATAATTGTTACTACTATTCTAAAATATAGATTGATTTGACTTATATCTTACATTTCAATTCCTTTTGGCTCTAAATAAAATATTATGGCATTACAATTTGATAAATTTTAAATGAGCTAATTGACTTTAAAAGACAAGTAAAGGCTACAACTGATAAGCAACCAAGGAAACTAAAAGATGAGGATACACATTCAAAAATAAAATAAAAATAGGCAGGCAGAGTCTTTGTCTTTTCTAGGGGAGAAAGATTCTCATTGAAAATCATAAAGGTTCCCTTTATCCCATTAGTAGTTGAAGCATAACATCACAAGTTTCTTAGTATTATCTATTTGAAAACAAAATTATATTTACTAAAAGAACACATGGTATTTGCATTTTTTAGTTCCAAACAAATAATTAGAAAATTATATTTTATAGGAGGAAAGAAAAAGAAAGTTGAATTAGCGATAAAAAAAATTACAAACATGAAGTTCATTTCTAATTCTATACTAAGTGCCAAAGATTAAAAAAATTAAAAAAAATTCATTTTTCTGCAGTGCACAAAAATTACAAACATGAAATCCATTTTTAATTCTATACTAATTACTAAGTACTAAAGATAAAAAAATTTAAAAAGTTCATTTTCTAAGGTAGATTCTGCTACTCATTTACTCTTTCGGTCACTATTATAAAAGAGTGGTTTTTTTTAAAAATACAAAACCAAACTTCTGGCTAAAGAGTATCATCAATAAGAAGTATTGAATTTTTCAAAAACTTTGAATTTTGTCATTAAACCTCCCACCATTCGTGTTATTATAGCCATTGCTCTTTCCAAAAATTGGCCTATTTAAAAAATCGACATCAACGATGTTAACAATATGAAAGTGTGAGTAATGTGGATAATAGTCTCACATTGATTAAAAATATGGAAATTTAAACATTTATAAGTGAGAGAACCCACTCATCTATTACCTTAAGGTTTTGGATGAATATTTGATGTGTGTCTCTCACAAAGGTGTTGTTAAAAAAAGAAGTCTCACAATGTTCAATGCTCCCTAGTGAAAAATTTCACCAACACATGATATCAGAGTCTGGTTTGAGAAATGGACCGACTTACTTGTATCAAAAGTCAACGATGCCACTGAGAAATGGATCGACTTACTTGTATCAAAAGTCAACGATGCCACAAAGGTGGTGAGTAAGAAACGTTTCGTGCGGTACAAGAGTTTGTGGAAGTAAGAAGAACTTCTACTTGAGGGGGAGCATTGTGGACTCACACTTGATGGGGAGTGTTGAGAATATAACAAGTGTGAGTAATAGTCCCACATTGGTTGGAAATGTGGAAACTTAAGCATTTATAAGTGAACGAACCCACCCACCTATCACCTTAAGGTTTTGGATGAACATGTGGTGTGTCTCTCACAAAGGTATTGCTCAATAAAGAAGTTCCACAATGTTTAATGCTCCTTAATGAAAAATTCTCCCAACAAACGATACCTTTCTTAATTGTTGTAAACTTTAGAAATCTCTATGTGGCTTGAAACAAGCTCCAAAAGTTTGGTTTAAAAAACTTCACTTATTTCTCACCAAATTAGGATTTCAATCCACCAAAAATGACATATCTCTCATCATTAAAATCACTTTTAAGATTACCTTATACATTTTGATTTATGTTAATGATGTTATAGTCACAAGCAACTCATCTTCAACCATAAACAACTTTATCCACTATCTTCACAAACATTTTTTCTTAAAGGACTTAGATAACCTTTATTACTTTCTTGACATCCAAGTTCAAAAATGTCTTTCCCTAACTCAAACCAAAACATCAATGACCTTTTCCACAAGAGGGATCAAACTCTGATATTGAAATTGACCATGGACCTAGATTTTGAGTTGGAGTACATGATTATATTCTTGTACGTGACAAAAAGCAACATTTAGTCGATCAACCAAAAAGAGATGTGTATGAAGACTTGACAACCTATGCACTTCTTACTTGTTCTAAAGACCCTTCCAACTTTCAAGAAGTTATAACTACCTAGGAGAAAGATACTTAGATGGGTTAAATGGTTGAGGAGACAAAGTTCTTGAAGAAAAATCATACATGAGAGCTTGTTCATATTTTAAAAGGGAAAATGAACATTGGTTGTAAGTGATTGTTTAAGAGAAAATTTGCAGTAAGAGAAAAAGAGGGGGAAAAGTTCAAGACTCTTCTTGTAGAAAAGTGATACTCACAACAAAAAGGTATTGACTATGATGAAATTTCCTTCCCAATCGTTATACACACTTCTATTAAGGCAATGTTAGCTTTGGTAGCCAGCCATGACATGTATTTAGAGTAGATAGATGTGAAGACATAATTTCTTCACAGTAATCAAGATGAGAAAATTTACATGGAACATCCAAAAGGGTTCAGTGTCACTAAACATGGCATACAAGTTTGTAAATTATAACGGTCTTTGTATGGTTTAAAGTAGTTTCTAAGGTAATAGTGCAAACACTTTGATTCATACATGCTTTAGATCTACTAGAAAATGTGTGAGTATGACTGTTGTATTTATGTTAGGAGCCTGATGGTTATTTTATTTTCTTGTTACTGAATGTTGATTGGTGCAAATCTTTTACATGACATAAATGAACTGAAAATCATGTTGAGAAATGAGATTTACATGAAAGACTTAGGTGGTGCTAAGAAGATTCTTGATATGAAAATTCACATGGATAAGAGGGTTAGAAAATTATGGCTTTCTTAGAAAATCATAATTGAAAAAGTGCTAGATAAGTTTGACATGAGTAATTAGAAGGTTTTGAGTACTCCATTGGCGAATCACTTTAAGCTCTCATTATATCAACATACAAAGACAAATCTATAAGTTGAGTACATGTCAAAGGTTTCTTAATCTAGTGATGTTGGTTGTTTAATGTATAATATGATTTCCACTTGAAAGGTAACATGAGTCATGGTATCCTGTTTAGCAATGAAAAGGATGGTCATTCAGTTTTAGGATATGTTAATTCAAACCATGCTGGTGATATGGATGATAGAAGGTCTACAATATAGTATGTCTTTACTTCAGTAGGAGAACCTATTTGTTGGAAATCATGATTAAATCCTTAAAGGCCGTGTAAATAACTAAAGAAAAGTACATGACGGTAGCTGCAACTACCAAAGAAGCATATGGCTTACATGATAGGTGAGAGAATTGAGTATTGAGCAAGGTGGAGTTCGGTTGCATTATGATAGTTAGCATGCCATTTATTTGGAAAATAATCGGGTGTATCATGCTAGGACCAAACATATTTATGTGAGGTTTCACAAGATCAGTGGTTACTTGCATATAGACATATATTTCTTGAAGAGGTTCATACTTCAGAGAATGTAATTGAGATCTTGACCAAGATAGTAATCAGTGACTGATCGCGACTTTCTATGTCTAATACAACTAACTGCAAGTGCACAGTCTATCGCGTAGTAATAAAAGATATCGATCCCACAGGGACTCGTAATCAAACTAGTGTTCTCGGGAGTTACTATGTTTAGCTAGGTAGAATATGTTTT